AATAATCAAGGATGATAGAAGAAAATAATAGAAATAAAACAAAAGAAGTATTTATATTAATTTAAACTGAAAAAATATTAAAAAAAAAATAAAAGAAAGCTTAAATAAAACTATATGAATAGGAATAAAAAAAAAAATAAAGTGAAGAAGAAATGCTAAAAACAATAAAATAAAAAATAAAAGAAAGAAATGAAAAAGAGAAATCAATAAAATTATAATTAAGTTCTAATTAGGAATTAAATTAAATATATTATTAGAAATTAATAAATAAAAATAATGAGAAATTATTTAAACTACAAAAAAATCAAGAAGAAAAAAGCGAATATATTCAATAAAAAAAACTTCTGGAAGAAATGCATTAAAAGGAAGTTTAGGAGAAAAATAAAATAAATATATTATAAGAAAAAGAAGAAAAAAAACTATTTTTGTAAGAACTAGAACTTAAAATAAATAATGTTTAATAAAAAAAATAGTAATAAATAGATATGACAAAAAAAAAAGTAGCTTTAGAATTAATTAATATAGAAGAAGCTAAAGAGAACTAATTAAGAGTAGAAAAAATAAGATAATTTTAAAAAGATTAACTCTTAAATAAATTAAAAGAAGACTAAATTAGGATTGAAATATAATAAAAAGAAAAATTTATTACTTAGTAAAATAAAGAAAATTTTAAAAAAAAACTTCTGGAAGAAAAAAACAAAGTTATAAATGATTATATTAAGTAAATGAAAAAAATGAAAAAATAAAATAAAAATAATTAATCAGAAAATTAAAGTCAAATTTCTATAGATATTTATAAATATCAAGTTAAAAATTATTCAAATAAACATTAGGATTAATAAAATAATTATTTTAATTCTATTAAATAAAAAAAATATTAAAAAAAAAATAAAAAATAAAAACATTAATAATAATATATTGAAAATAATGAAACATTAGAATAAAATAATGAATCTTCAAAAGATAATTAAAATGTTTAATAACAAATTCATGAAAATAAAAAAAATTATAAAAATGAAAAAAAAGATTAAGAATAAAATAAAGAGAATATATAATAATTAAATAAAGAAGAAAAAATTAATATAACATAAAATCAAGAATAAAATATTTAATAATAATAATAATAAACATAATAATAATAATAATAATAATTATAATAATAATAATAATAATTTATATATGAAACTTAAGAAATATAAGAAAATAAAGAAAACGTCGAAAAACAAAAAAAAGAAAATTAAAAAGAAAAAGGAGACGAATTAGAATAATAAAAAAAAAAAATTTTTTAAAATATTCAATCAAATAATTAAGACAATGATAAATTTTTATAATTTTAAAACTCTTTAAAATCAACTAAAAAAACTAAAGTTATATTTTTTATTTTTTTATACTAATATTATATTTTTAAAAATAAAGAAATTTTATAATTATATCGGAAAAAGTTTGTTTTAATAATAATTATTAGCTTATTGCAATGATTTATCTTTAGAATAAAAAAAGAAGTTCTTTAATTTAAAATAAGTTAAATGAAAAATTAAAATAAAGTTAAAATATTTAAAAGTTGCGAATTTAGTTAAAATCCTGACTTTATTCAATTAGATTATATTAAAGATGTTAATAAATTTTAATCAAATATATTATAATGTGTAAATGAAGCAATTTAAAATAATTATAAAAACTAAGTATTCTTAAATATAATTTTTAAATATTAATTAAAATAAATAAAGGATTTAAATAATCTTGATGAACAAACTTTAAAAAATATTAGTATATCACTTTTATAAGATTATGAGTAATAAAAATTAATTTTTTTATATATTTATTTAAATAAAATAAGAAAATAAAATCAGTTGACTGAAAAATTAAATAAATAAAATAATTTTTTAAAATTAAGTTAATGAAATATACATATATATATGTAATAAAAAATCATTATTAAATTTATATAAATTTAAACTTATTTTCTTTATCAATTTTTTATTTAATTGATAAAAGTGATAATTTTTAATTATTATCTTTAATTTTTACAGACTAAATTTTATCCAATAAATTATTTCCAACCGTAGGCTTTTTATTTAAAAGCTCAGATTAAATTTAAATTAAAATATCATCAATAAATTTTATAAATTTACCTAATAGCTTTTAAATACTTTTTTTATTTTAAAAATCAAATACGAAATACTCTTAAGCATTATAATTTTTTAAATTAAGAAATTTAAATTCATTCTACCTATAAAATTACAAATTTCTATTAGGAGTTAAATGAGAAACTGTTTTCTTAAAATTAATTTTATTAGATTTATTAATTTTATTCAAAATCTAATCCAAGCATTTATACTGTGGTTAATTATCACTTATTTTAAACAAAATCTTCCCTATAGTATCTTTTTCAGGCCATTTATTTTATTTGGCCTTTTTAGCCTATAAAACTTTAAGTTTTGCCAAAATAAATCTTTGATTCCATGCTTAATTAGAAAAAGAGGAAATTCTTTTTTCATTTTATTAATTTTATTATTATTCAGGCAAAGAAAAATAGTTTTATTATTAAGTTGCTATTTAGTTTAGTTAAAATTCATCATCACTACTACTCACATAATTTACTTCTTATAAATCTCTATTTATTTATGATTTTTTATTTACATTATTTAATTTACTATATTGCCTATTTTATAATTATTTATTTGAAAATTGTTTGATTTTTAAACTCTTCTCATATTCACAATTCATCATTTTTTAATGATAATAATTCGCCTTTTCAATATCTCCTAAATAATAATAGCTTATCCCTATTAAATCGTATGCTTTCAGTTCCTTATTTTTATTTTCTAAATACCAACTTAATCTTAACATTCTATTTTTTTTTAATTTTTTTTTAATTTTAAATTATTTTTACTTTATATAATATATTAAAGCAGTATTATGACCTTATAGTTCTCCAAAAGAACATCCTAATATATAATATATAGTTAATAATTGTTTAATATATTCGTATTTTTAAGATAGTTATTTTGCTTTTTTAACTGTGTGAATACATTTTACATAATCCTTAGTCAAAAAAAGGTATTTGCAATAATATATATATATAATTATTTGAAAATAAGCACTTTTTTAATAATCTGTTTAAATAATTATTTAATTCCATATATCGTTCGTATATTATAAATTAGTTTAATTTTCAATTATTTTTTGACTTTGTTATTTTATTTAATTCAGTTCAGGGACCAAGCATTCTAATTGTTAAATAAATGCATATTTTGCTAATTAGCTGTCACTTTTGAAATTTTTATGTGCTTCATATAATAAACAATAGATAAAAAGTAATTTTTTTTCTTAAATTAAATACTATATTGAATACTTTAAACTTTATTCATTTTAGTTTTCCTGATTTTAACTAATATAATTATAAGATTTTTTAAAAGAAAGATCATCTTAAAAATATAAACTCTTTTTTTGAGGGGTAATATTTTTTTTTGGAAAAGTTTTTTAAGGAGAATGTTTTTTTTTGGAAGCTTTAATAATTATTTTTGGATTTTCTTAAGGGCATTTAGGCTTTTTACTTAAATACTATAAAGAGAGTTTAGAAAGTCGATTTTATATTAAATCTTATGCTTTATAGTTATTATTTTGTTTTAATAATATTTTTGGATTTTGAAAAAAATTAAATAGAGTCGGTTCGGTTTAGGAAGATTATTAACATTTCTAGTCGTTAATATGAAACGTCATTATTTTAGAAAAAAAAGAAACTAAGGATTATTCATTAAAATTTTTGAGTTGTTTTTCTTAAGGGCTATATGGAATTATTGAGGGAATTTCAGTTTCGGGTGAATTAAAACTAGTTTTAGTATAAAAATTATTTTATGTGAGGTTTTTTTTGTGTTTATTTTTCATTTTTTTTGTTTAAATTTTTTTTTTTTTTTTGAAAATAAATAAATAAATAAATTAATTAATAATTTTTTTTAATGTAAAATTAATAAATTCATTAAATTTTATTAAATTCTTTTGATAAATGCTTTTAGGAAATTCAAAAAAATAAAAGCAATTTAAATTTTAGAAAATAGGGAAGCTGTATTTTTTAATTCTAAAATTAAAATAATGAAGCGTTTATGTGTTAAGTAGTTTAATTTAGAAATAATAAAATTGTTGTATGTGATGGTTTTTCAGAATATGTGTTTTTTATTTAAAATTTTAATATAATTAAAGAAGCTAATATATTAGATCAACTAGTTAATAGTTTAATTATTATTAGAAATTGGAGTTTTCATATATATTTAGGTTATTTTATTATTTATAATTTAATATTTTTTATATTAATAAAGATAAAATAATATTATTTGTGGAGAAATTCTAATGCATAGATATATTTGAATAAGTATATTTTTGTAAATATTTTTTAGATATTTCTTAAGGAATTTAAGGTTTATAAGGTTTTAATTAATTTTAATAGAAATACAAAGAATTAATGGATTTTGTTTATGTAGAAAATAAAAATGAATGTTTATAAACTAATTAATATTATGAATTAGAAGAGGAAAAAACAAACAAAGATGAATAATATAGCTTTTTAAAGCCTTTATGTAAAAAATATTTAATTTAAATTAGAGTTTAGAAATATGAAGAAAATTAAAATTAAATTAGTAAAAGATCATAAAAATTAAATTGAAAATTTTATTTTTGATAATAAAAACTTAAAAAATAAAAATAATTAAAATGTTTTTTATTTAAAAAAAAATATTTCGAAATATTATTCTAATATTGGTAATTTTTTACTTATTTATTATATTTATATTTTATATAAATTATAGAAAAATAAAAATTATGTTTTTTTTGTTTCAAATATTAATTAAAATATAAATATATGTACAAAAAAAATTCAATTTATACTAAAAAAAAAAATAAAAACTCACAAAAAATATTCCTAAAAACTCTCCAAAAACTAAAAATCTTCACATTATTTTCCTTAAAATTCTGACTTATCAAAAATTAAAAATTTCTTTTCATTTTCACTAAACTATCCAACACATCCTTTATTATTCATTCTATAACAATAATTAGGTGCACTCCAAATACTTAACAAATCTTTATTTTTAAACCAAAATTTATATCCACTTTAGACTAATTAGTGTGCTCGACAAATCAATTCTAGCCCATTAATCTAATTAAAATGACTCACGCTTTTCCACCCATAAGCCCAACCTGCTCCTCTTGGGCTACATCCCCAAGTTTCAACATTTTCATCAGGATCACTCCATAATAAATCGCAAAAAGGTCCTTCTAAAGGTACATCAGTACACCTATTTATTACCTATAATTAGTCTAAAGTTTTTATTTAAGGCGAAAGACCTCCATGTACGCAAAAAAATTTACCCTAAACTAATGCTGAAATTGGTAAATAATCGAATATATCAGTAATAATTTTCCATGGATACGGATTTCCATATTTTCTAATTATTTCATCATAAAAACCATAAATTTTTGACACTGCTCTAGTTTCATGATTTCCTCTTACAAGGATTACATTCTCAGGATATTTTACTTTTAAACAAAGTAAATATTAAATTGTTTCAACACTATGATATCCTCGGTCGACAAAATCACCTATTAATATATATGTTTAGTGGGGTGGTTAACCTGATAAATTAAATAATTTCAATAAATCGAAAAATTAGCCATGAATATCCCCGCATATATTTACCGGAAGGTTTACAGACTTTATATTGGGCTCTTAAAGGAATATTTCTTTTAGTATAAATGATATATTTAACAAAGTCGATTCATCAAGAATTATTTAATGATCTTTTAAGTTACTTAAACATTAATTTATATCCATTTTTTTTTTTAATAAAAAAAAAAAAAATTAAAATGTTGAATTGAATTTTTTTTATTTGAAATTATATATTTTAAAATGAATCTTTTTATAATATATATAAAAAACAATAGTAATAATTATAATGAATATTTTTATTTTCTAATCATTTTTTTTAAATATATGCTAATTAATTTAAATAATTAAATAAATAAATAAAAAGTTTATAAAATATATGATTAATTTTGTATATTAAATTATTATTTATATAATTTAAAAATAACACCACAAATTAAATTTTTATTTTATTTTTTGGTTTCTTTTTTTTATAAGAAATAAATTTTAAATAAACAAATCAATCCATAAAAATAAAACAACATTATAAAAATATTAATTAAAAATTTAATTATATTTAGAAGAGTATTAAACTAATCTATATATATAAATATATATTTGAATTTTTTAGTTAAAGAAATTTGGTTTAATATATAAGAAATAATCATTTTTTAAGGAATTAAAATCCTTATTCTCCAAAAGTCATTTTAAAACCATTTTATATATCATTTTATTATTATTAAATCTAGTTATTATTTGATGTAATTAAATTATCATGTATTTATTATTTTTATAAACTATTATCATTTGGATATTATTTTTCAATAGCTTTCTATTTTCTTTTTTTCAATATATCTTAATATATTTTTTATTTATAATTAGGATTTTTTTATGGGGAAGGTCTTTATTAAATGTTTGTATTTTATTAAATATTTTAAGTAGATTATTAAATTATGTCTTTAGGAGGTTATTTAATTTAACTTTAAGGTGATTATTCAGTTATTTTCTAATTAAATTGCTTTATTAAATTCTTAGGAGGAGATTCTTAAGTAATTTACACAGGATATTATTGAATTTTTTTCTAAGAATGTTATTAAATTAAATGTTAAGAAGTCAATTATAATTTAGTATTTTAAGGAGATTATAGAATTATATTATAATAATTATTAATATTATTATTTACTATAGGTTATTATATTAAAGGTTATTATTAATTTTAATTCTTTTATAATTAATCAGTAATTTAGTTTTATATTAAATTATCATTTTTATATATATTAATTTATTCGTTTTTTAATTATCATCTAGTCTACTATATAAATTGAAGTTACAATTAGAATTTTTCAGTGTATTTTATATTTAATGAATAGAATTTCTTATTTATTAAAATTTTTATTCTTAAGAAAATTAACTTTATTATTATTATGATTAATATTATTATTATTAATTATTTGTTTATATTTTTTCTGTTTCTTAATTACATATTAGATTTGTTTATAATACTTTTTATGCATTAGGATATTTAATAGCTAACTATTCAAGAAATGAATTCCTTTAAGAAAATTATTTATCTTTTTAAGGAGTATAAAATTTTGTTAGATCTATATTTTATTTTGTTTTTGGAGTTAATTAGTTCTATTGTAAATTCTATTAAGGAAACATATATTAATATTAAGGAATTTAATTCTATTAAAAATAATAGTTTTTAATATCTATTTTTTATTTTTAAACTTTTTTTATATATATATTTTTTTAACCTAAATTTTTATTCATCATTTTTTTTTATTTTCTTTCTTTTTTAAAATTAACAAAAAACTTTTTTTTATTGTAAAAAAAAAAAAAAAAAAAAACAACTTTTTTTATTTTATATATTATAAAAAAATGCTAGATAATTACATAGACATTATATATATATAACTAAATAATACATATTACAACAAAATTAAAATAAATTAATAATAAATAAACATAAAATAAAAGAAACAAAACATTATTAAACTTATGAGCATGCACAAATAGCTGAAAATTTAGAAAAAAAATAATTTTATTATTTTAAATGACCTAAAAGCTTCTATAATATAACTAATAAAAAATAGACTTTGATAATAATTTATTGAATATTTTACATATAATATTATTTAATTATAAATTTATTTCTAAATAAATGAAGAAAGAGTATCTTAAATATATTATTATTTAATAAATAAAAAAATTGATTAATTTTATAAATGTAAAAACCATTGATTATTTTTTTAAAAAAAACATCAATTTTTATGAAAAATTTTAAAATAATATTTTAATTTTTTTTACAAAAAATAAAAATTAAAATTTAAAATAAAGAAAAATTAAAGACTTAAAAATACGATATTTAAATGTAAATTTTTTTAAAAAAATATAAAAAAATGATTTTTTTAAAAAAGAAAATTATTATTTTTTAACAATATTTTTTCTGTATTTTTTTACAAAAAATAAATAGACTAGAAAAATTGGAATATTGACAGTTTGTTTTTTTAATTATGTTTTTTTAAAAAACTAAAAAAATAATAATGTATATTTCAATAAAAATCTGTATTTTTGAAAACTTTTTAATTATATATTCTTTCGCTTAATTTAAAACATATTGAAGTTCAAATGTTAAAAAAATATTAAATATATATATAAAAAGAACTTTATAAATGAAAGAGCTTTTTTAATTTGATTATATTGAATAAATACTACAATAAATAAATAAATATAATGTGCCTTTTTTATGAAAATATAATACCTAAAAATTCAAAATTGAAATGTTGGAACTTGAAGATTAAAAAGAAGAAAATAGTTATAAATAAGAAAAATTTAAAGAGAAAAAAACGCTTATTCAAACTATATTTATAAAAGTAGAAACTTTAATATAAGAAATAATTTTTTAGGATTTAAAAAAAAATAAAATAATTATGAAAAAAAAAGTTATTTTTATATTTAAAAAAGAATGAAATATAGATATTGTTTAAGAAGTAAAAAAATGATTTATTTTTAAAAATTTTGTTAAAATAAATTAATTTGAATTTTTTTTTTTTGCATTTTCATAATTAAACAATTAGAGTTTTTTTATTAATATAAAAATATATTTTTAATTTATTTTTTATGAAAAATATACGAAATGGATAAAAAAATAGTTTATTTTAATTATTTGCTATATAAAAAATAATCTTTGATTATTAAAAGTAAAAAAAATTGAAAATAATTTAAAAGTATTTATATTAAGAATATTAAAAATTTAATAAATATAGATAATTAAATTGATAACTTATTATTTTTTTTTAAAAGACTTCATTAAATGTAAATTATTTAAAGAAAAAAATAATTATTTTGTTTTAATTATTAAATTCAAATTAATTACTTTTTATAAAATTTAATAAAATTATGTAAATAAAAAAAACTATTATATAAAAAAAATAAAAAAATGAATGATTTATAATAATTTATTTTTAAAAATATAAACTAATAACTTATTTTACTTTGTTTGAATATCCTTTATTTATTTTTTACGATTAAAATAAAAGTCCATAATCCATTTTTTACATTTTTTTTTTCGATCGAATTTTATTAAAAGAAATTATAATAGTAATATTTAAAAATACTCAAAATTTTTTAATATATATATATATATATAAATAAAATTATTTTTTTAAGTAAGAAAAGCAATTACTAAGAAACAACATTATCCATAAAATATTGGGAATATAAAAAGTTATGGAAACAATAATAATTAAATAATAGCTGCGTAATTGCATATTATTAAATTTACCTAAAGAATAATTAAATAATCAATTTCTATTAATAATAATAAAGTTTATAACAAATACTAAAAAAAAATTAAAAATAATTAAAAAGTAAAAATAAAATAAAAAATATATAATAACTTATATATACTTAGTAAAATATAAATAAATATTATTTATAATCAATAAATATTAATATATTTACTTTTTTAGAGAGATTCGAATAATTATATAGTATATTTTTAATAAACTTTGAAAAATAAGAATCTACTTTTAGTAAATAAGAATATTTACGGCTTTTAGAAAAGTTCAGACTTAATTTTTTTAAGAAGATATTATTAATTATATTTATTTAAAATATAATAAATATCAAATTACTTAGTTATGAAATTTATGTTGTTAAAATACTATTAATAGCATAATAATTTAATAAATTATTTGGAAAAAATCATCATCTTTTACTTATTTTGTATTATTGACTGGATTTTGACTTGGTTTTTTTGTAATATTCTAAAAAATGAAGATTTATTAAGAATTTATGATTATTTAATTTCCAGTAAGTATTAAATTTTTTTTTTTATTAAGTGGTGTTGCATATATTTTGGACACAAAAGATATTTTAATGAGATATATTCAAAGAAAGTTAAAAGTACAAAAAAGAAAAATATTTTATTTAATTTTTTTTTGTTTAAACAAAAAAATCAGTTTTTTTTTTTTTTTTTGGAATTTATATAAAATTAATGGAATATTTAATATAATTTGAACAAAACTATTGAAAATAAGTGTTTTTTTAAAAAAACAAATATAAAAAATTCTATATACATAATAATTTTCATTAAAATATGTATAATGAATTTTAGTAAACATAAAATTTATTTGAAAATATTTTTTTATCAATAATATTTTATTAATTTAATAATGAAATAATTTTTATTTGCATAATTTTCCTTTTCAAAAATAATATTATTTTTTTTTTTAATTTATTTATATTTTAAATTTTATTTAAAATAAGATTTATTTTTTAATTAATATTAAAAATATCAATTTTTCTTTTTAAAAAAACATTAAATTTAATTTAAAAGTGTCAAATAAAAATAAAATTAAATTTAAATAATGAAAAAATAAATAAATAAAAAATTTCTAATAATATTAATTTTTTTTTTTTTACTACATTCGTAAAATATATATATAAAAAAAACAGAAAAAATAGAAAAAAAAATATGGACAAATACGGAGTTTTAAGTTTCAACTTAAATGAAAATACAAGTCAAAATATGAAAATGCAATTTATAATTTTATGTTTCTTATTTGCTTTCCAAGTAACCATAAGCTTAAGCATTCCTTTCCTATTTTATCACCCCTAGCAATTACTATGTACCAAATCCCATGAAGGATCCGAGTTTTTTCCATGTACTGAATAAGAAATGTGTAAAAACCACTATTTTTTCCGTTACCTTGATTCCGAAATAATTCATTCTATATCAATGGAATATGATTTTTTTTGTATATCTGGTCAACTCTAAGAATCCGCTATGTTAGGTCTCGCCTTAATTGGCTAAGTAGTAGGTTTTGCTATTTCTATGTTTTTTGATATACCAAAGCCCCATAAAGCTAAAATGCTCTTATTTACTGTAATAATAGAATCGGCACTTTTAATATCAATAAAAATTATCTATTTACCTTCCTTTTTCCTCTCCGTAGCCTTGAGTTGCTGGAATGGTCTTTTCGCCTTTTATTTCGGCTAATAATACGCTTATATATGTGATGTTTATTCTGCCACAATTAATAATGTTGCGCCTGTCGCTTTAGGGTTTATGTAGCCTTTTATTGGTCTTTTTTACATTTTATATGCCTCCTATGATAAAGAATGGAGAAATCATTTAGCTTATTTTACTGCTATTCCTTTATTAGCTATTGGTGTTATTTGGTTTTGTATTTATGATTATAGAAATGATGAAAATGAAACTGTAAAAGAGGAAAAGTCCAAAATAGCTAAAATCGACTAATATAATTTCATATAGGATCTTCTTTTTAAATACAATGAATTAATCACTTAACCTAAAATGCTTACAAACTCAATTATGTACGTTTTATGTTGGCTAAATTCAAGTATGGCATATACAAGTTCTTATCTCGTCTTCAGTGATATTAAAGTAGGCTCATTTTTCTATAATATGTATTTTTCTTAAGTCGCTGATGTATTCGGAGGGTTACTTGCTTATATTTTATTTAGATGCTTCCCTTCTAGAAATGTCATGTTTATTTCTTCCATTATTGCTGGCTTTGTTTAATGCGCAACTTTCGGATTGAATCATAATTCTTCGTATTATGCAGAAATGGGACCTATAGTAGTTGCTAGGGCTTATAAATCGATTATTGTGGGTGGCTTATTGATTGTTACACCATAATTAGTACCTTTTAGATACCTTTTATTATTATTTACATTCTCTAATATAGCAACTTTAGGACTTAGTAGTGTTATGCCATTGTATAAGATTATTTGTGACTAATTTGGGATTAATATTTTTGTTACTTTTGGAGTTATGGCATTTATTTGTAGCTATTATATTAGGAAATGGACTTATAAGGAAGATTTAGGAATTTAAGAGACTAATTTAGAATAAGATGCGGGTGTATAAAAAAACTAAATGACATAATTTATGCAAACTGGGGCGTAACCAATTAGAGGTAAAAAAATGGAAAAAAAATAGTCTGCAAGTGAAATTAGAGATAGTGAAGCACTACTTGAATATCATAAAAGATGATTTGATATTTTATTTATTTTATTACATTTAGTTTTTATTTTTATTAATTTTTTTTTTTAAGTTTAAAATTTCTTTAACTTTTATATTTAGAAAATATTATTTTTTTTAAAAAAAAGTGTAATTATTTAAAATTTGATTTTTTAATAACAAAAATATGGGCTTTTAATAACTTTAGTAATTAACTTAATTAGGAACAAAAAAATATTACAATTTGAAAAATATTTAATTTATATTATTATTTTTTTTAATAAATTAAAAATAAATAATATAATATATATATATATATATATATATATATATATATATATATATATATAGAAACTTTAATAAAAATATTTTCTTAACACTTATCTTTAAAAGGTTAATTATATAATAATATTATTTATTTATATAAATATTAAAAAAATACAATTGTATAAATAATAAGATAAGTATAAGTTGTATATCATTAAAAAAAAATAAGAAAAGTAAATATATTATAAAAAATAATAACATGTATATAAAATTTGTTTTATTAATAATATTTTATATTATAAATTTAAATTAAAATAAAATCAATAAATATTTATTTTAATAAATAAAATAGTAAAATTTTTAATTTCAAATAAAAAATAAATAAACTTAAAAGTTCCAAATAAAAAATAAAATGGAAGTAAAAATACACAAAAATAAATAAAAATATAAATAAAATATTAAAAATATAATCATTTTATTTATAAACAAACAACATTTCAAATTTAAATAATACTAATATTTATATATAAATTAATTTTTTAGTAGAAATAAATAAATGAAGATGATTAAAATTCACAAAATTAAACTCAATAATAAGATTAAAGTTGTATAGAGTAAATAATTAATAAACTAGAATAAGAAATGAAAGAACAAAAAAGATTTAATTAATAATTATAGCAATAATTACAAGAAATAAAGCAAACGAAATAACAAAACTATTAATTCAGTAGCTCCAATTCATAATAAAAATCAACAATTAAAGGTAAAATAAATATTTATATATATAAAAATTTTAAAACTAAATAGAAAACATAGATTAAATAAACGAAATAAATTATTCAAGAAATTAATTTAATGGAATCAGTCATTATCCTCAAAATGATTATTAAATAGACAAATAAAATACTAAATAATAAAGTTAAATTCATGATAAAATATATGATTCATAATCAATAAATCATATTTAAAGTTTATAATATTAAAACTTTAATTTATAAAGTTAATTGAATGAATATTAAATGCAAAATGAATAATATGAAAATTATATTGCCAAGCTTGAAAAACATATAAATAATATTCAATAATAATAGTTTAAATAATTTTAAGATAAGAATATTTAAAAATAATAATTCTAAGAAGAGAATGAATCTAATCAAAAAGATAAAAATGAAATATAAAAAATTGATAAAAATAACTAATCTTAAGAAATAACTGGAGGTTTTAATAGTGAAAGATAATTTACTTAATAGGAATAAAGTTAATTATTTCATTTTTTTTAATTAATTTATTATTTATATTTTATTTTAATTTTCTATTAGCTTTAATTTATAAAGAAAAAATTATCAAAAATGTAAATATATTTTTTATTTTTTTTCCATAAAAAAATAAAAAATATAAATATATAATTATACTAGTTATGTGATATTATGTGTGTTGAAAATGAACAAAAACTAACCTAAGCGGCTTAAAAATACTCTGAATGTATAAAAACAGTAATAAAAAATATATAAATATATAAATATTAATATAATTAAAATAAGATTCCTAAATTAGAAAAGTTTATTGATAGTATTTATGAAATAATATTTTAGCATGATAGTTAAAATAATTTTGTTGAAAAAAGCCATAATTTGAATGTATTAATTACATTTTTATAAAAAAAAAATATTTAAAAGATTCTTTTACCAACTTTATAATAATGGAGTTAATAAGTAAAATGTTATTAAGGTTTAAAATAGTAAAATTAAGAAGCAGTCTAGGTTATATATTTATTATAATAAATATATATATATATATATATATATATATTTATTTATTTATTTTAAAAATAAGTTTTTAAATCTTTTTAATAATATATTTGGAGATGAAATGGGAAATTAAAATTATTTTGAATTTCTTTAAGTTTTATACAACTGTGTAAAAAAAAAATTTATTTTATAACATTATATTATATTTTATTTTTCAAATAGTATAAATTACACATATCTAATTATTGATAGTTATATGAAAAATAATAATAAAATAAAAATTTATAATATTTTTTTTTTTTTATTAAATAATTTATTTTTTAATTTAAAATCATTTAGTTAAAAAAAATATCAAAATTTTTTTGGATAATTATGTCATATGAGTTTATTATTTTAATTTAATCAATATTTTATTTAAAATAATAAGTAATCGTTTTCATAAAATAGTTTTATAAAAAAATAAAAATTTATATTATAAATGTTATTATATTATGAATAAAATTATAATTTTATTAAAAAAATAAAATAATAATTTTAAAAATAATTTTAAGAAAAATGTTTGAAGAAAAATATTTAAAATTAAATTTTATTTATAAAAATTTAAAAACTACTTTTTATTTTTATTTTAAACTAAAAAAAAAATTATAAAAAACTTTAAAAAAAAAAATTAGTTTTATTTAAAACCATTTTATTAATAAATTTTCTAATAAAAAAAATGACAATTTTCATGTATAAAAATAATTTACATAAATTCAAATATTATAATAACATTAATAAATTTATTAAAAAATTTAACTTAAACATAAATAGCACAAGAAAATCAAGAATAAGTAGTAGAATAATGAAAAATGAAGATAAATAATAATAATAAAAAATTATCTTAATTTATTTAAACAAATTAATAGAGTTTAAACAGTTTAAAATTGAAAAAAATAAAAATTAAAAGGAAACTAATATTAGAAAAATACAAGTTTATTTACAAAACACTTTAGTAGGTCTTTTCAACTTAAAAAATACTTGATCTTTAATTTAACAAAAAGAAATATTTTTCCAACAAAAGCTTTACCATTTATTTTTGGAAATCTTAAACTTCCCAAGTAATATTAATTATATTTTTCCTTAATAAATACCATTAATTTCTTCTTTTTAAGCTAATTTATTATTCTTAACTTTTGCAAAGTATTTTTCTCAAATTCCAAAAAAAGAAATTAACTAGAAAATAAAATCTTTAGGATTTTCGTTAAAACACTTTTGGAATAAAAATTTTATTATAAATCTAACTTATAAATTTTGAAATTTAATTCGAATTTTTTTTCTAATATTGGCCGAGAAAATTGTATAAAATAATACAATAATTAATCAAAATCCTTCTTTTTAGTCCAAAAAGTACTACCTTAGTTAATTAAAGTAAAATTAAGTCTACTAAAGCATATAAATTATATAAATATCCCAAATATAAATGATTTAGTGTTATATTTTTCCCAGAATTGGTAAATAAATATCAAATATAGTGACAAAAATTATCGAAAATTTAACTTTTAAACCTATTGTAGCAATATTTTCCTAAATATTCAAAAAAGCAATAATTTTTTAAAACTCAATATATCATCTTATAAACAAAATATACTTAAATAAGAATTCTTGTTGAAATTGTTTAAAAAAATTACTTATAATTTTTAATTTTTATTATGTAGAATTTTAACTTTCTTTTAATAAAAATTTAAAAGGAAATTCTTAATATTACTCCGAAATTGTACTTGTCTTTATTCCTTTTTTTAGGAATTTTTTTAGTTTTAATTTCTGTAACAATACTTGATTATTATGATATAATATCTGTTTTAGGGACTTCATTATTAAATTTAAGGCTGAATTTTACTAAAAAATACATTTGAACCTCCTTAATAATGAAGATGTAGATTTTAAATGCATTTATAATATTTTTAAAGTCATTATGAGATTTAAAAGTTGAGAAAAAATACACATAATAGCAAATTTCATAGAAAAATATAATAACTCATTTCAAAAAAATAATTTATAATAATCTATTGTTTTCAATGATGGCGTAGCTTTTTTATAATTAGGAAAATTAAAAAAGAAAATCCCATACAAATTAAAAGTTTTTAATAAAATTAACTATTTGGTATATAAACTTAAAGTTTAGTTCATTTAAAATATTTTCAAATATTTAAAACAAGTTAAAATCACAGTCTATTTTTTACTAAATTTAAGTCTAACCCACATTATGATTTTTTGTTTCTTTCCTAATTAAATTCTTTTGGTATTTATATTTTGTAATTTTTTCTTGAATTTAATAATTATAATAATAATTTTAATTTTATTTCAAGTAATTTAAAAGTTTTTATAATTTATATATATTATATATATTTTTTTTTTATATAATTTTTCATTTTTTTAATTTCTATGGTGAATTCAATTATTTGCAATCTATAAAAAAACTAGGTTTTAAATCTTCGTCTTTCTATATTTATATTTTAGTTTTTTTTTTTTTTTTTAGAAAAAAAAAAAAAAAAAACATTATATTTATAAATTACTATTTAATCTTAATCTATATCTTAAGTTTTTTGTTTTTTAATTTAATAAATATTTTATTATAATTTAAATTTCTTTAAATCTTTTTTTGTGAAAAAAATAAAATAAAAAAATATATATAAATAATATTATAAATATTACCTTCTAAATCATTATTTTTTGTATTTGAATTAAGAAAAATATTATTATTTTAAAGTTCTTTTTTTTATCCGAATTATTTTTTACTAGCTTTTATTGTTTTTAGTTTTTAAATTCTTTCTTCCTCTTCAAATTATTTTTTATAATCTAACATTAATTATTTGAAATGATTAAAATCAGAAATACTTAATAAAGTGTCTAAAATTTACTCATCGATTTAATCCTCTCTTGTTTTAAGTAATTCTAAAAATCTCTCCATATTAAAACTTTCTATTTTTTTTTATAATTCCTATTTCATTTTTTTATTTTAAATATGCAATAAATATAAATATATAATGATATATATATATATATATAAATATATATAAATATATATATTTATACATATATAAATATATATATTTTTTATTACTTATTGAATATACTTTTCTATTGTTTTTTCATAATCTTTATAAATAATCATATATTCAGGTTTATTTTCTTCTTCATCAGAAAATACTTAACAGTTTTATTTAAAAAATCCTTTTTCTAATAATTCATATTCTTAACTTATAACTATATCTTATAATTATCCGACTATTTGATCGAATTCTTAATCATTTTCATTATAATTTTCTTTTTATAATTATTTTATTTTAAAATGTTATTATTTATTAGTATTTTAAAAAATACCATAATTTTCATATTCAAATTCTTCATCATCAAAAATATTTTCTTCTTTATTTGTTTACATTTTATTTTAAATATAAAATAATTATATTATATATATATATATTATTAGATAATATATTTTTTCAATTGTTTTTTTTTTTTTTTTAGAAAAAATTTAATATAAACATAAATTTAGAAAATAATAAATAAATATAAAAAATTGCATTAACAATTAATATATTAAAAAAGTTAAATAAATATTTTTTTAATTTTCATACTAAAAGCAATAGAACGTTTTCTGTTATATATAATCTTTTATTAAATTATGATAATTAAGTTAATAATTTTATTTTACAAATTATTAATTATTTATCAAAATTTTATATATTCCATTTAAAAGCTTTTAAATAAATAAAGAAACAAAAAAATCGATTTTAAGCCATAAAGTAAAATAGAATTTTTAAATGAATATTTTAAATAATTTATTTTATATCTAAATATTATTTTGTTTCGCTCGTGCCCTTTTTATAATAAAAACATAATATTAAAAAGTAATATATTTATTTCTTATATAACTTTATTTTTCAAATTTTCCTTAGTTAGAATAACTAAATTAAATATATTGTAAAATAAAAAAAGGAAATAATTAAATAATAATTTATTTATTTTCAATAATAAAAATACAAAATTTTATTAATAAAATAAATAAAAAAATAATTTTTAAAATTAAATTAAGCAATTAATAAACAAATCTTACATTAAATATATTTATAAACTTAATATAAATGTAAAGATCTTTTTTAAGAGAAGACTTCCATTCTAAATCAACAGAAAAGTTTTCCTAAAAAATTTAAACAATTTTTCTATAAGCAACATTTACTAACCTGAAATTGTTAATAATATTAGTCTTTTTTCCTTATCTTAATAAAAAAATTAACTTTAAAATAAAGAAAACATTAAATTATTAATAAGAGTTCGTCCTCCTCTCTAAAGAGAATTGAAAAAAGGTCAACCATTTATATCTACAGTAAAAAACAATAAAAATTTTTTTTTTTTTTTTTTTTTAATAAAATAAAATATCCAAAGATAGATATATCTCCAGACCATTCTTAAATAATAATTTGCGATTTTCAAACAATGAACTAAATATCACAACAAGAAATCGAATAATATATCCAAAATTCCTAAAATTACATTCAATATCCATTCACATTCGACTATATATTCGATTAAGAAAGTACACAATAATAAATATACGAAATCAGCGGCAAAAATCAAATAAAAGACCTCTATGAAGGTTTTAACTCGACCATATTTGCCTACGGCTAAACAGGAACAGGCAAAACCTATACGATGAAAGGTTTCACATACGATTTAGAGGATTCTAATATAGGCATGATATTTCGATCTGTATAGGATTTATTTGAAATCATAAAAAAACAAAAAAATAAAAATAACGATTTTGTAATAAAATGCTAATATTTGTAAATTTATAACGAAGTTATTTAAGATTTACTTTCTAATAATATAAATTTATAAATAAGAGAAGATAAAAATAAAGGTATTTATGTATAGGACATTTCCGAATATTAAATATAAAATATTACTGATGTATAAAAATTAATTAAATAAGGAGACTAAGTAAGGGAGACTGCTTAAACTAAACTAAATGATGTTTCTTCAAGATCACATGCTGTTTTTATAATTATTTTTTAATAACTTTCATTTGAATTTAATGAATTTAAAGTCTCTAAAATCAACTTTGTTGATTTGGCAGGCTCAGAAAGAGTTTCTATGTCAGGATCTACAGGTATTAGATTATAAGAAACCAAAAATATAAATTATTCTTTGGCTGCTTTGGGTAATGTGATTGCAGCTTTGACATAAAAAGAGTATAAAAGAAGTCATATTCCATATAGAGATTCTAAAATTACGAGACTTTTATAAGATTCTTTAGGAGGAAATTGTAAAACTACTTTTATAGGTACTATTTCGCCTAGCATTTATGAATTTAATTGTTCTGTAAATTTATTTTTAATATTTATACAAATAAAAATGATTTATGTAATTTAAAAAAAAGCTTTCAACACTTAAATTTGTTAATAGAGCTAAAAATATAAAAAATTATCCAATAATTAATAATAGATTTGATTAAAAAACATTACTTCTTTAGTATGAAAAAGACATAAATAAATGTAAATAAGAACTTTTTGATAAATAATAAAATTTAATAAATTCAAAAACTATATACTAAGTATTTAATATACATTATATATATATATATATATATATATATATATATATATATATATATATTTATATATTTAATAAAAAAGCTTTAAAAAGAAATAAGTTAAGCAGAATGTGAAAGGGATGAATTTGAAAACGCATATAAAGAATAAATGAAATAATTATTAAAAGAAAAAGATGAAAAAGACTCACTTTTATAAAAAGTTAAACTTATGTAATAAAAGATATTTAATTAAAAATAAGAATAAAGAAATATTGAAACTGAATAAATATTATAAGCTAATTAATGTAAAGAATTACTTAATAAATATAAATAAATTATGGACTCTATGTAAGAAAAGATAGAAGAACAAAATACCAGAATCTAAGATTTGGAAGAAACAAATATTTACTTATAAAATAATGAACATAATCAAATATATAAAAATAAATACTACGAAATGCTTTTAAACAAACATGACATTAGAGTTCCTTTAGAGAACGAAATTTAGTAGTTTTTTGCTTTATAAAAAGATTAAATATTATTAAATGATAATAATATTTAACATATTTTTCTTGAAGAAAATAATTTTTAAACAAAAAGCTTTCAAGAAATTGAGGCTTTAAAAAATAAAGTAAGAGAATTTTTAGCAAAAAAATAAAAAATAGACGACGAAGAGTTATAGGAATTAAAAGATATTTAATATTTAGCATATTAATATGAAACAAAAATTAATTCTTTCTAAAAAAAATATTTGGAGAAAATTAATTCGCTTGAAATTGAAAATAACTTATATCTTGAAAAAATAAATAAAATGTAAATTTTATTATAATAAAATAGCTAAAATTCATTTTATTGAAATAAAAAAAAAATATATAATCTAAAATATATATATATTTTTTAAAAAAAAAGAGAAAAAAAAATTATAATAAACAATCAAAAAATAAAAATATAAATAATATAAATAATATATAATATATATATATATATATATTTGTTAAAAATATAAATATAAAAATCATTTCTTATTAAAACATTAAAAATAATGCATTAATATAATGTTTTGAGTATAAAACTTAGCTTCACAAATAATAAGTATAATATGTACAATATCAAAAGTTTTAAACCCATTAGGTAATAACTTAAGATCTTATTATTTAAAACATTAAGGTTTAAAAATAACTTTTTTAATGAAACTTTTCAAAGAATTACAAATTAATCTATCTAAAGATTTAAAATTATACCCATTTTACTAATAACCTAGGGAAACTGCACAATAATTCCAAAGGGCTTCTCTAAATAAAAAATTATCAATTTTTTAAATATTTCCGAAATTTGTGATTTATTAATATTTTGAATCAAGTATAATCGCCAATTCTTTATGTCTTTAAAAAATAAACCTTTAAGTGTGCATTTTCCAATTTGAATCTTAAGAATAAATTTTAGATTTGTTTTGTTTTAATTTAATGATTTTTCTACTACAAGAGATAATTTATTAATTAGATAAATTTTCTATAATTCCGTATTATTATTATTATTATTATTATTATTATTATTATTATTATTAATATTATTATTATTATTATTATTATTATTAAATATATTTTTTTCAGATATAAATTTATTATGATAACTCTTTTAATTATTTCTAAACAAATTAAAATCTTCTATTTCTTATTCAGGATATTTTATATGTTTTTCATAATTTTATGTTTGTGTAAAAACACAAGATTTTTGTTATTAATAAAACATTTAAAAAAAATTATTATTTTCTATTTCATTAGTTTATTTTTTTTTATCTTCTTGATTCAAAAATTAATAATAATAATTATTAAAAATTTAACTAAAATTATTGCAATTATTATTATTATTATTATTATTATTATTATTATTATTATTATTATTATTATTAATATAATCTTTATTAGTTTTATTATTTTTATATATATATATTTTTTTTTAATTATTATTTTTATTATACATTTACTATTAATCCTATAATCCTAATACATTACTAATACTTATCATTTATTATGTAAATATAATAGCTTAAGTTGCAAAAATAAATTCGTTTTCATTCCATTGAGGTGTATAATTGAGTAAATACTTAAATAAATATATATAATTATCTTCTATATTTTTATTATTTTAATTATCCTTTAATGCATATATAAGATTCCATACCTTTTAAATTTTTATATCTAAACTTTTTTACCCTTCATCATAAAAATCATTTTATCCTCCAATACACTAATATAATTCAGCAAATAATCCGAAAACATAGTTATTTTCAAAAGCACTACAAGTCATCATTGCTATTTGGAATAAATTTTCAAATGAAAGAGCAGATGATTTAATAAAAATTTACTAAAAAGTAGTAAAAAATGTTTGTAAATATTCTGGAAAATACAACAGAGGTCTAAAAAAAGAAGGAAAAGTTCCGCTAAAAGTATTAAAAATATCTAAAAGTAACTTTTTAAAATCTTATTAATTAATTTCATTTTAAGAAAAAAATTCAATTAAGCAATTTTTCCATTAAAAGCAATTTAATCTTCTTCTTCAAGAATTTGCTACAATTTAAAAATACTAGGAAACTCATCATTTTCGAAGTATTTACTTATATTATTTTCTATTAATTTTTCCTATTTTTCTCCATAAATTTCTATTAATTTCTAACTTAGCTAATAATAAGGGACTTAAAATATTAAGTTTTTATTCTAATATTTAAATATTCAGTTATTTCTTTATCTTATTTATATTTTTCCATATTCTCCTTTATTTTATTTATATATTCTTCAATATTTTCTTATTCCATTTTTTCATTAATATATAAAGGCATTTAAACTTCTATTTCCTAAATTTAATCACTCTTTGGATTATACTATAATTATTTTACAATCTGGGATTGTGTATCTGTTGAAAACGAATCTTATTTATTTATTGTTTATTGTGAATTTAACTTTAAATAACATAAGCAGTGTTATTATTTGTGTTGATTTTCATTATTAATATTATTTTATGAATTTAATTATTATAACATTTTTAATAAATTTATTTTAGTATTATATTTTTATATATTTAAATTATTTTTTTCGTTTTTATTTAAATTTGCTTATTTACTAAAAATATTAGCTTGAATAGTTATTTATTATTCTTTTTAGAAGTTTGAATTAATTTTTTGTTTTTTTATATATTTACTTTTTTTTTTATTTTATTTTTTTAAAAAAAATAATATTTATAATTTCTTTCCTATTTATTATATATTTCAATATGAAATTTAATATTATGAATGTTTTCAAAATTATTTTTTTAATAATATTATTATTTTTAAATTCCATTTTACTTAACAAAATTAAATATATGAATATGTATTTTAAATAATTTTAACAAAAATAAATAATTAAAATAATACCTCTATTTTTCTATCTATATATAAATATATAAACAATTTTATGGGTTATAATATTATTATTTTGTTTCAATATTCATAACAAAAATAAAAATAATTTAAAAAATAAATATAATTCTCTAGTTAAATTATTTATTATTTTAAAAAAGGGCTAAATTTTGTAAAACATAGCTAAGTAAAATTAATATTTATAATTCGTTTAGCAAAAGTTTTTAAGTTTTGAAGAAAAAAAATTATATAATTTGCATCAAATTTATTTTTAATCTAAACAGAAATTGCGTATTAATAATTTTAAAATATTTTTTATCTATTACTTTTTAAAAGTCCCCCACCTTTTAATAATTTAGGTATGTGTAATTTTGGTTTTATATATATATATATTAATTTTTCTATAATTCTATTAAAATATAAATACTCAGATTATTTTTTATTAAGATTTTAGAGAATTTTCATATAAATTATTTTTAATCAAATTATTTTATTATTTTTAATAGACAAAAAATTGTGCCAAATATAAATATTAAAAAAAATTTGTTTGTATAAGAAATATTTAAATAAAAAAATATATATGTGTAATTATTTATTATAAATATTATATATATATATTTATTTTTTTAATATTTTAAGTAAAATAAATATTTTGTCTTAACTTTTTTTTGTATCATATTTAAAATAAAAATATTTTTAAACTAATTATAATTTTTTTAGAATTAAAAAATATATCAAATTGATATGAATCAACTATGAGTAAAAGAATATTAGTTTTTCATATAATTTTAAATTAATATTAATAATATATAAACATATTCTTAAATAATTTATTATAATTTTTATTTTTATATAATATGGGAAAAAAAAAAAAATTAAATACAAAATAAAAACTATTTTTATTTTTAATTATTAAAAAATAATATTAATTTATTTAATTATTTTTTATAATTTATAAATATTTATCAAATTTTGTTTTAAAAGCTTAAAAATACGTAAAATTTGTCGTAGAATGAATATAGAATAGTGTTTTCTATATTTAAATAATAAGTTTAGTTTTTTTTTAAATTTTTAATATTTTATCGAAAACTTATTCTTACTTAAGCTAATTTTTTTTTCTTATTTATTTTTTTATAAAATTTAATATATAAAAAAATTGATTAAAAAAAAAAAATTAAAATCATGATTATAATAAATAAAATATTAAATATTAAATCTTAAAAATAATTAAAATTATATTATTATTTTATAATAATATAATTTCAGTATTTATTATATATATAATTATATATTTTTTTCTTTTTATTTAGTTAATTATTTACATTTTACGATTTTTAACCACATCAAAAGGATTATAATTAATTAAATATTAATTTTAAAATGTATTATAATTTATAATATATATTTTTAAAAAATATTTTATGTTGTAAAATATTATTAATATTATAAAATTAATACATATATAAAAATAAATTTAAATCATTTAATATATTTTTATTTTAAAACAAAATTCCAAAATTAAATTAAAGTAAAAATAAATAAAAACAAAACAAAATATTCAATATAATAAAAAATAAACAAAAAAATCAGTTGTTAAGTTTCCCATAAGTTTAATTTTTATCCGCAGTTATATTTCCATCAAGTCTTTCGTTTTCTTATTAAAGCATTTTAATTCTATGTTCCAATGACATAATAATAGTTTATGTTTTTTCTGCTTTTTTAGCTCTATCTCTCCAAAACTCAATATCTTTATCTTTTTATTTACATAATAAATCTAAAGAGACTAACTCATCAGTTCCTGTTTTTAAAACGGCTTACATTCTTTCGAAATCTCTCTTTACTTCATTTTTTTCCCATTATAATTCTTCTATTCTTTTATAAGGAGTTTCTTTTTAGATTTTAAGTAATTTTTTTTTTTAAATATTTTTTTTTATTACCTAAATGTTGTTACAAAATATTACAACGTTATTACCAATGTGCTATTCTTAATCCTTATAAGCTATTGTAGAAATATATCTTTGATATTATTTGGTTAAAAGATCACATCTTTCTTCAAATCTAGCAATTCTTTATGCTTATATTCTTATCATTTCACTAGAATCATCAGATTTTATTGATAATATTTCATTTTTTGTTGTAGCTGTAGATGGAAGTAAAAAAGGAGTAGATGCGTGGGCAGGAATGCAAACATTTCCAGTCCTTAATTATTATTCTATTTATTATTGTTGTAAAGGCTAATAAATAATTGGTTATTGGATTTATGCTGTTTAATAATTCATTTAATATAAAAAAATTTATTTTATATATTTTTTAAAAATTATTTAATTTGTAAAATTAATTTATTTTTTTTTTTTTGAAAAAAATAAATATAAAAAATATATATATTCTTATAATAATTAAGAACAATATTATCATTTATTTAATCTTAAACAGGTTATATTAGTAATATACTTAATTTATTAGAATTTTTAATTATAATCATTTATATATATTAAAATTATATTCTATACAGGCTTTAGTTATTTATTTATATGTATTTTTTAATAAATAATATTTTTTTACCATTCTACATAAATAGCATAATCCAGTTTTTTTTCCAATATCAATAGCACATAAATTACATATTCCTTTTTATATTGTAAAATATATAAAAAAAAAAAAAATACCGCCATGACCACATTCCATAAATACAGAATCAGGTAAATTTTCGAAACAAATTATGCATGTCACATCTTTATTACTAGATCTTTAATTTTATAAATACTTTAATATTTACTAATTTTATTACAAAGATTTTATTTCATATTTTTTTTGTGTTTAAATGACTAAAGATTAATTTTACGGGTTCAATTAATGTACTAATTTATTACTTTTTTCTATTTTTTACTTTTTTTTTTATTTTTATTTTTTTCAATAATTTTTACTTATTAATTAAATATTTTTTTATTAAAAATTATTTTTTTGCTTTTATTTTATTTTAATTTATCCATTTCTATCTGAGTTTTAACTTTACATATTTTAAAGAAAGTAGAAGATATTTTAATTAAATAATTAGGAGAAGGATTAGGAGAAGAATCAGGATGTATATTCATTTTTTTATCAAATTAATCTTAATTATTATTTTCAAATTTTTATTCAATATTATTTTAATTTGTTATATATACTTGCTAATTATCTTATTATAACTATTATTATTATTCGTTTATTTCTGGATTTAGTTTATTTGATATATATTATCTTTTTATAGATAAATTTAAATAATAATATTATAATTATACATTATATTTTTTTTATTTCTGATTAAGTAAATCATACATAATTAGTAATAAATCATATTTACAACCAAGCTTATTAAAACATATTCTTCATATTTTTTTTATTTTTGTCAAATAAAAATTAAATAAAATAATACTTTTGATGTTTGATTAAAGATAAATAATGATTCCTATTATTGTATAAAGAAATCCAAAATAAGATATTACTAAATTTGTACATTCTAAAAATTATTAATGAACTATTTTTATATAAGATAAATTGAAAAACAAAGTTTGTATTACATTTTTATTAAGAATCTGAAACGCATTTTTTTATACGAATTTTTTATAACATAAAAAAAACAATTTGAATACATATAATTAATCCGATTAACATACTAATTAGACAAGGTAAAAAGATTATATACCAATTAATATCTAAATATCCATCGTTTTTAAGTAAAACAAACATAATTTATAAAAAACATAAAACCCTTAAACTAAAATAAATCTTTTAAAAAATATTATATATATATATATTATTATTATATATATATATATATATATATATATATATATATATATATATATATATTTATATATTTTATTTATTATTATACATGTATATTCGAGTTATTTTAATTTTCTTCACATTTCATATTTACTAACATCCATCCAAATATATGTAAAAAAGGCCAATAAAAAATAAATGATGCCAAAGGTTAGTCTTTATCTATTTTAGTGCATATATATAATGCTAAAAAAAAAAAAGCCATTACGCAAATTTCTATAGTTAAAAAATATTTTCTTGATGTTTAATTTCTTTGTATATATATGTTTTTTTTTTATATATAATAAATAATTTTTTACATTAGATAAGATAAAGAAATACATGTTATATTTAATATTAAAAATATATTATCTTTTATTATTTACACATATAATACTAAAATAAATATTCCATTCAATAAGGTTAATATTAATAATAGAAAAAATATCAAATAAAAAGTTTATTGAATTTATTTAAATTTTTCTTATTATTATATCATTTATTCATTTTCCTACTATTATTAGATATTGTTTTATTATTAATTAACTATTATTTATTGTTCTATTTAATTTTATTATTATTATTACGATCTTACCTATGAACTAAAATACAAATTTTCATACTTTAATTATTTTTATCAATAAAAAATTATTAATAATTATTATTTCATTTATATTTCTATATTTTTATATACTTTTTATGATTACGTTTTATTGAACAAAATTATTTGAGTTTTCTTCTCTTTGCGATTATATTTATGGCAATTAAAATCTTTATGTGTTTCTTGTAGAAAGCTAATAGTCTAAATATCCATTTTAAAGCAAATAATTTCTTATTAAATTTTAACGAGGTGAATTCATATAATTCTATATATTTTTATGTCAAAAATATATATATTTTAATCATTTTTTTTTTTAAAAAAAATACGTTTTCATTATGTTCATATTTAATTTGATTATTTACATCATTTTAAATTTCCATTTTTTTTCTTTTAATTATATTATTAACTGAAATTTATATATTATATTTTTAAATTTTTATATAAATTAACTTGATTTGTTAATTGTGATAAAAATTTCATAAAATATGGATAATAAATAATAAGATACTAAAATAAAAAAAAATATTCTTTTTATAAAATTAAAAATTTCTCAATATTTAATTTTAATAACTTATTTATTTTTATATTAAATATCATTTTTAAGTTTAATTTTTAAATTATAGATAATTTATAATAAAAATATGGATAAAATCTTTATTTAAATACATATTAATTTTAAAATATAAAAATATTATTAGTTAATAATAAAAAAATATATATCTTCGTTTTATATTCTTAAATTACTGAACAAATACTTAAATTTTCGTTATATATACTTTATCTTAAAAAAAATACTAAAAATTATAATAAATATTTATATAATTATATAAAAAAATAGTTACTTTTGATTGTTTCTTATAATTATTCTAATTTAAAAATATATTATTTCAATTAATTGTTTTCCTTTAAAAAATGATTAGTTATTTTTAATCTATTATTTAATATTAAATTCTATTTCATTATTTATGTAAATAAGAAATCATATATTTTATAAATTATTCTTTATAATAATTTATCACAGAGTAATTAAAATTTTAAACATTATTGATATTTAGTAATTATTATTATATAAGTTTGTACATATAAAATAATAATTTAAATTGAATATTGCATTGTAAAAAGTTTGTTCTTATTTTGTATTTTTTGCTTAAAAAATCAATTAAAAAAAATTTATTATATAAAAATTAAAATTTCTAATTTAAATATTTTATTTAATCGAATAAAAATAATTCAATAATATAAAAATATAAAAATAAATAAAAATATATATATATATATATATATATAAATATAATATATTATATATTATATATTAAATTTTTTATCAACAGTATCATATAATTTTATTTTCTTATATTAAAACATTTATTTTCTTTTTAATTTTTTAAAAATATTTTTAAATTAAATCTATTTTTTTCATTAAGTAATTATTTTATTTTTAAGTTTAAATATTATTTTTATTAATTTAATCTATATTTATTTTTTAATAATATTTTATTCATTTTTTTAATTACTAATTACATTATTTATATATTATATTTTTATAATTTACTTTTAGAGTTTATAAATATTGTAATTTTAATTTTTAAATTTCTAGCATTCATATAAGTTAACATTGTTTTTTTGTTAATAAGATTATTTTCGCTTTTTTAGCCAAATATTTTTTATTTTTTTGTCATTTTCAAAAGATATTTTTATAGGAAAACTAATTATTTTTCATTTTTATACAAGAAACATATTTTATATTTAAAAATATTTTAATTTATATAATATAATTTTTATTACTATTTTTTGTTATTAGATGTACTATCTTTATTATATCGGTTTTATTAATTTATGTGATTTTATTTATCAAAAATGTTTGATTCTCACAATTATCTTTTTAAAAATCTATAAGTTGTTTTCGTTAATACTTATATATTTAAGCCATTGCATATTATTTCTTTTTTATTTATTTATTTTCCTATTACATAGGAATTGTTTATCTAAAAGATAGGTTGATGAAGATTTTAACATTTTTTTATTTTTCTATATAGTAATTCTTTATTTTCGTTTTTTTTTAACAGCAATTTTATTTTTAAAGCAATTATTATCATCATTTTTTTTATTTTTTATAAGAAAAAAATATTAATAATCAAAAATAAATAAATATAAAATATTATATATATAATAATTAAAAAAGAATTATGTCTGAAATTACTGAAGTAAATTAAAAATAAGAACATTATAAAAAATGAAAAAAAAAAAAGGAAAAAAATATAAAAGATTAGCAATAATAAAATCAACTAATAGATTATAAAGAATTATAATAATAAAATGAATAAAAAGAATAAAAAGAAAAAACTCTTGAAGAGCAAATCGAAGAAGCCATCGATAAGCTTCCCTCTAACGAAAAAATATATGCAATTGGAATCAATTATTATTTATAATAAAAAAAGCAAATAGATGAAGAATTATCACAAAAAATAAATCAATTAAAATTTGAATATGAATAAAAATCAAAACCAATATACGAAAAAGTAAATCAAAATAAATTTTAAAAAAAAAAACAAATTAAATAAATAGTCACAAGAACTAATATGCGGAAAATATCCAAATCCAGACGAAATAAACGACATAGAAAATTTCACAAATGAAGAAGAAAGAAAAGAGCTATAAAATCTCCAAACAGAATAAGAAATAAATGAATATTGGTACAAAGCAATGTATAGTAATAATATAGTATCACAAGAAATAAAAGACTAAGACATTCCAGTATTAAAGACATTAAAACGAATTGAATATATACCCTTAGAAGTATATAAATATTAACTAATTTTTCATTTTAAGCCAAATGAATATTTCACAAATACATTATTAGTTAAAACTTTTGAAATAGACGATGAAGACGAGCCAATTAAATCAACGGGAACATCGATAGACTGGAAATAAGGAAAAAATACTACCATAAAAATAGAGAAAAAAACTTAAAAAAGTAAAAAAACAGGGACTAAAAGAATTGTAGAAAGAGTATAAAAATATGAATCTTTTTTTAATTTTTTTAATGATTCTTACCCTTTGAGTGAAGATTCAGACGATGATAATGAAAAGAATCAAAGATCTGATGTTGATAGACTTAATATTGACTTTGATATTTTTAAATCATTAATTGATGAGGTTATTCCTTACTCCATAGAGTATTTTTTAGGTGTTAAAAGTGGAGAAGAAAGTTTAGATTTAGATGATGAAAATGAATTCGAAGATTAATAGTGTGATGAATATAATAAAAATTAAGAAAATTAAAAAAAGAAATCTAAAGGAGTTAAAAATATTAATGATAAATAAGAATGCAAATAATAATGATATTTTTTTTGTTTTTTTTTTAAAAAATATATATATATTTTATAAATGATATTTTAAAATTAAATTTTATATATGAATATTTTATTTTTATTGAAAAAAATAAAAATAATAATAAAATTGGTATAATTAAAATAATAAAAGAAAAAAATATATATATTTTGAAAAAAAATAAAAAATGCTTCAAAAAATTATATTTATAGCTATCGGATTAATTTTTTTTTCTGTCTGGACTTTAATTTCATTAATAGAAAGTTTTCCAGATGAATATAAAAGCAGAGATACAGAATTAGCAACGTATATTGATATGAATGATATTGATTTATAATTAGTTAAATATTTTTCTTCTTCAACAAAAAAATTATCTTCATAAAACATTAAAAAGAAAAAAAAAGAAATTCTTATTAAAACAATTTATATTAGGCTTTTATATAATTTTATAAAACAAATTTTTAGATATAATAAATGGAATAAATAATAGAAGAAGAATAAGAATAAAAAGATGATTAGATAAAATAAAACTACGAAACATTAGTATAATAAATAGAATAAGCAAATATTATTAGGTAGAAATATAGAAACTCAATAACAAATATAACAAAAAACTATTTTTTAAATGAAAATGCACTTTCATTAAATTCAAACTTTTTAGGAATCGTATCTATAAATAATGATTTTATGATAAACCCAAATTTTCCTAATAAATATTCAAGTTTTTATAAATAATTTTTTTTTATAATTATATTTTTTACAAATAGAAATTAATATATATAAATATAAAAAAGAAATATATATAAATAAATATTAATAAATATATTTAATTATATTTAAGATATAAATATATACATAAATTTATATATTTATATTTATTTAATTATATTTATATTTTATTTTACTTTAGGCCTTGATATATTTTTAATTAATAATTAATTGTTTAATTAAAAGTATTTATTTTATATAAAAAATGATATTTATCATGCTCTTACATTAAGATTTAATACTTCAGTAATAAACGCATACCAAAGTTATTAAAGCAAGGTTATTTTTTCACGTAAAAGCATTAATTATGGCTTTTATGATTAAAAATACATTTGCATAATTGATATCTAAAAAATAGAATAATAAATACTTTAAGAACATTAATTTGTTTCTGAAGAATAAAAAATAGAAAATGTTTATGAAGAAATACAAATAGAACCATATTCGGATATCATTTCTCTTTAAATATCAGAAAACGTCATTGTTTATGCAAACAAGGAAGATTTTGTCTTATTTCGATCCAAGATAAAGTATTTTATAAAAAGTAGAAAATTAAAAAATTAAATTTAATTATTTTTTCTTTTTTATTTTTTTTTTTTCTATAAAGGATTAATAATTAATGGATTAATATTACTTTTTATCCTACAATTAAAAATAATAAAAAGTTTTTCGCTTAAACTTTATCTCTTAATTTTATTAATATTTCTTATGATAAAAATTGTATAAAAACTCTTTTTTTGAGCCATACACTGTAAATTTTATTTCTTTTTTTATTTTTAAAAAAATATTTAATTTAATTTAGAGGATAAAATGATTAAATTATTTTCAAAGGAGAAGTATATTGTTTAATATAAAATAAAGAAAATGAATATGAATGGGTACATATATTTACTCCTATTTTAAAAATTATGGAATTCGAAGTTAAAAAAATTGATATTTTTTCATTAAGTTTCTATAAATATTTCTCAATGTATTATTAAGAAGTAAAAAAAGTTATGATTTTTTCGTTTTTGAATAAATATATATTTATTTCTAAATTAAAGTATATAAAAATAAAAATTTTGTATATTTATTTTTAAAAAAGTTCAAATCAAAAGGATAGTGAAAATCACTTTTTTAAAATTGATAATTTCGAATAAGAAAACATTAAAGTTATTAAAATTTTCTAAAACAAAAATACTGATTATATATTCATTTTAGCCCAAAACTATAAACAGATTTCTAAATTATTTTTAATAGACTTACAAGATATTGATAGTAAAAATTCGACAAGTAATATTTTTTTTTTTCAATAAAATAAAAAAAAAATATTATTAATAAATAATATTTTCAAACTAGCTGTTTTTAAAGCTGAATTCTTTTAATAAGATGAAGAAATATTAATAAAAGATTTATAATTAAATGAAGAAAATTTAAAATAAGATTAAAATTATATTGTAGTAAATTTACTTTTAGAAAATGGAGATTTAGCATAATATAATATACATCCTATTTAAGAAAGTTATTTAAATGAAATCTAATATGGTGATAATAATAATATAATTGAATATATATTTACTATAATTATTATTGTTATATTTTCAATCTTGTATAATATATTCAATTAAATATTCTAAAATAGATAGGTTATTTTTAGCTAAGTAAATATTTAAAGAACTAATAATTAATAAAATAATTAACAATAGAATTAATAAAACAATATTTAATAAAACCAATAATAATAATAAAGATAATGATAATACAATTAATTATTTAAAATAAAAAATAATAATAATTAAAATAATGTTATTTTGATCTTTTTTATATTTTTAATATAAGTATTATTCAATAATTAATTTAATTTAAATAATTTTTTTTAATAATAATAATTACAAGAATTAATTTAATTGAAATTATTAAAATTATTATATAAACTTATTTATGAATATTTATATTAATTATAAATTAATTTTTATATTTTATTATAAATATATAAATAGTTTATTGAATAAAAAGAAATTAAATAAAATATTTTTTAATCTAAGTAATTATTATATTTAGATTTTTTTAAATTAAAAAATGATATGAAAAATATTTAATTATTTATATTTTAATATATTACAAAAATAAAAAATTATTAAAAAAAAATAATTAATAGGATATACTTAATATAAAAAATTATATATTGGTATAATATTAAGTAAATAATAATTTATTTTTGTATATAATAAATATATATTAAGTAATATAATTTAATAAAAAATATTAATTTTTGAAAATCGATAGATTTATGAACTAAATATAAAATGATTACATTTAAGGGTATAAATAATGAATATATAAATTTTCTAAATTTATTAATATAAAAATAAAAATAAAAATAAAAACATTTTTTTTATTTTATATAAATAATTTTTATTTTTAATTATAAATAAAATTTTAATAGACATAAATATATATATTTATTTTATTTTATTAAATATTTTAATTTTTAAAAGTGTTATTATTAAATAAATTATATATATTCATAATATATATATTTTAATTTAATTTATTTTTTAATTTTATTAATTATTATCTTTATGACAACTATTCACATTTTTTTTCCATATTATTTTACAATATATACTAAATATAATAAAATAAGTTTAAAAAAGTTCAGAAGTTAAATAAAAAACTTATTTTAAAAAAATTAATATTTCTCCAATTTTTTTTTATATTATCACTATTATATTTATTAAGTATAAATTTAAAATATATAATATGCAACGAAAGAGTAAAATTCTTAATATTTTTTGTCAAACCTTAATAATAAATATAAGAATTCGTTACAATATCAACCTATTATAGTTAATTCCACAAAATACTATCCCTATTGTGAAATTGATTGGAAATAATTTACTCAATCCATCATATATAGGTAAAACTATTAACTAGACATTACTTAAATTTTAAATTAAGACTTTTATTAATGTATTAACTTCAAATATTGTTGAAATAAATAATTCAAGGTTGTGATTGTTTCCAAGAATGATTTATTGTAACTTAATTTGGATACCAAATGACATATTTAAACTGATATTTTTTTATACACTTAATTTTAAGAAGAATGAGTAATAATTTTTTATACAATATGATATAATTTGTATGTTATAATTGAAATTACAGTTAAATTGAAAATAATGCATTTACAACTATTTAAAGAATATATAATAATGAACTTTGAAATAAGGATTGGGATTAGTTAATTCCGATATAATTCTATTCTAATCAAATGTTGATTCTCTTATTGAAGTTGTTCTCAATATTACTCTTAAAAAAGGGAGAGTTAGAAGTCTTGCTGAAAAACAAAAAGAAGATGCGTATCAAAACTTTTGAGTTTTAGTTAAATGAAAAAAGCATTATGTTAACATTGATATATATTATAAATTTAGCTCTTTTTATGATATATTAAATAGAGCTTTGTATATAATTTTTTGATTTAGTGCTTTGAAAAGCCGCCTTTATTTTTCAATATATTGTATCACAAATAAAATATTTAACATATAAATATCTATTTTAAATTTTTTTTTTTTTTTTTAAATAATCTTTTAAAATAGTGTTTATTTATTTATGTTTTTTAAAAAAAGAAAATTAAAATATAAATAAGAAAAACTAAAACTAAAACATTATTTAATAAAAATTATAAAATTATTTTTAATTCACATTTGTTTAATTTATTATAGATTAATAATAAAATAAATAAAAAAAAGCAAATTATTCCTTAATTTAATCCTCTAAAATAAAAATGTATTCAATATTAAAACTTAAACTTTTATAAAATCGAAAATAACAAAAAAATGTAATAGCAAAAGAGATTTCATAAGAAGACTATTCTAAATAATAGTTAACATTCCTTAATAATTCAACTTCTATACTTTCTACAAAGGAGACTATAAATAAATCTATTGGATAAGATGATGAAAACGATTAAAAACAATAAGTGTTTTTATAAATAAATAGTTTAAATCAATAATTATATGAATTAATAGATTAACCTAAAAAAATTAAATAATAGAATTATTAGAAAATATATAATCTTTAAATTAAAATTACTTTTTATCAGAAAATGAATATTACCTTAAAAGCTTATTAATGTAAATAAATATAACAAAGAATTTAGGTGAATATGATAGGTGCATTTAATTATCAAAAGAAATGAGAAAATAATGCAATAAATTAAAATAAAATTAATTAAAACTTTAATCATATTTAACTTTAATAGAAGTTTTACTAATAACAAGACAATATTAAAAAGCATTAATTTTTTGTAAAAAATTACTCAAGTTATCTATATTGCTTAATGATTAAGAATTCGAACTTTTAGCTTATGATAAAATAGGTTTAGTCTTATATTACTGCGGAGATATTTATTTAGCCGAATATTTTCATAATAAAGCTTATTCAAATGATATTGAAAAGGAAAATTCTTTAGTTAAGTAATTTTTTATAAAATAAAAATAAATAAATTTTAATAAAAAAGAAAAATGTGTGTTAATTTTACAAAGTAATATAAATATAATTAGAAACATAATTATGATACAGATAGTGAAGATGATTTAGATTTGAAAATATTTTAATAATAATAGTACTTTTCGCCACTAGATTAGTAAAATAAATCTTGTTTTCTACCTTCAATAAATTAAAAGAACTATTTAATTCCTTTTCCTATAAAATAGTATTTAAGTAATAAAGATAAAATAGGGAGAATCAATGTTTCCTTAAAAATAAAAAATTAAAAAAAAAAACTATTGGGTAGAAAAAAATAATGAATTAATTAAGCCATAATAGAAATCTAAATAATTTTATTGTTTAAAAATTTGTTAATAATAAATATTGGCCCGTAAATAATGAAGTTATGTAAGATATCAAATATTATTAACTCAGTAAATAACAAGTTTAAATGAAAAAAAAAATTAAAGAAATTATTAATATGATTAACTCAAAAATAAAATAAAAAAATGGAATCGATTTGTCTGAAAGTTAATCAAATAATTACAAATTTATAAATATATCTAACAAATTAAAAAATAATGACAGTAATATTAATATTTTACCATAAATTAATCAAAATAAAAAATATATATTAAATGATTTATGAAAAAAATAAAATATATATATTAGTTTTTAACTTATAAATTAAAATACAAATTATTTTTTTAAATCACATTTAATTTTATATTAAAATTGTATATTTAAATTGGTTTAAAGCTATACAAAGTAATAAATAATATTTAATTATTTTTAAAAAAATAATTTTTCTTTGTAAATATAATTAATTCATTTACTTCATTTTATTTGTTATTTTAATCTTTTTCTAGTTTTTTCAAATTAAATTCTGAGTATAAATTTAAATTTTATTTATATTTTAATTTATATACATAAATTGTTATATATTAAAAAATATCATAAATTAAAGTAGCTTTTTAGTATAATTATATAATAAATACTAAATCAATCAGATTTTAAATAATATTAATTGCATTTTTTAAAAGAAAAGTCATTATAAGTATTTTAAAAAATAATTGCTTAAAAATATTGCTTAATTTACAAATGTATAAAAGCTTATTTATTAAAATATATTTTATAATTATAAAAAACATATTTCAAATATTTTAAAACATTACAATTTAAATTTTTACTAATAACATAGAAAAAAATTAATTTTTAATTCAAAAAATTTACAATAAAAAATAAATCTAAAAAATATGCCATTTATATTATTTTATATAGAATTTAAAGCTTTATTTATAAATAAATTTTATTAAATAACATAAATATATAAAATATTAGTTTTTTTGTTATATCTTTTATTTCAGCTAGTTAATTAACTTCAAATACCTAATTAATTGATGATAATAAAAAATATTTATAAAGTAATAAACTTACTTAGCTATATTTAATAAATATTTAAGATGAGTTATTGAAAGGATAATTATTCTATATCAGATTATATAATAACTAAAATTAAATCAAAGCTTTTAACTTCACAGTTATTACTAAATAAATCACTGAAGGTGGACTCTTAAATAAGCATTGTAATCAGTTAAAGTTGATGTTTTATTATACGTTAATTCTCCTTTTAAATTCTCTTAAGAGGATTATAAATATATAAGAAACTTTCAAACAAAATTTCAAGTTCAAAGTTAGAGATACTGAGCTAAAGAAAAATGATGCCACAACTAAAACCAAAATAATTTTTTTTTAATTTAATTAATTTTTTGATTTTAATTAGTAACTGATAATTTATTAATATAATCAAATTGATATTTTTTTGCAAATTTTATTAAATTTTTTAAATTATTTTTCATTTTCAATTTTTATATAAATATATTTTTTTAAAATAAGGTTTATATAATTTTTTTATTGATTTTTGAAAAAAAATTAGATAATTAAATATAAATAATGAAATTTTTAAAAGTAAAATATAATAAAAATCTAAAAGAGATATTTTTTTTTTTCTTTTTTTTTATTTATAAAATTTTTTAATATTATCTATAATATAAGTTAAATTTTTGTTAATTATTTGATTATCTCGGATTTATTATTTCCTTCTAATTAATAGATTTTATTTTATTATTAAAAATATTAGGATTAATTTATTAGAACTTTTAAATTATTGATTTTGCTTTGTATTTTTTTTTTTAATAATTCTTTGTATTTTATTTTATATTTTATAAAATTAGACATAAATTAGTATTTCTAAAATCTTGAAAAATTTGAAAAAATTATTTATTAAAAAAGATTTTAAATCTAAAAAATTTAAACGTTAATTAATATGTTTTTTGCTATAATTATTCCGATATCTTTTGCATATTTCTATTAAATTATTAACATTAATGATTGTTAATCCTTTTTAAAGTAACCATTCTATCGCTTTCAAGATTTTGACTAAAATATTTACTTATTTTATATATCACAGTTCGGTGAAGTAAGTGAACTAGTGTTTTAATTTGGAAAATATAGATAATATATTTATTAGGTTAAGTGATATAAAAAGTAATAATATCAATTAATTTATTTGCTTGCTTTTAATTATAAAACTATATTTTGTAATTAAAATAAATTTACTAAATCAAAATAAATATGTAATTTTAATTGTATATTTTTTAATCAATATAAATATTTAAAATACATTTAATATATTAATAATATAAAAAATATTAATACGTGTAAATATGAATATCTTAATTTAAATACATAATTATACATACTTTTTAATTTAAAATTACTTTATAAAAATATTTATTAGTAAATCTTAAAAAAATGATGTCTTAATAAGAAATGATACAATAATCAAAAACATGGAAAACTATTTATCCATAATATCTTGATTCTTTGTTTTCTAGATAAGAAGGTCAACTATTGTTTTAATTAAAAAAATTAATTTTTTTATTAAAATACAATGATACAGGAAGAAGAATATCTAAAGACTAAGGCGTCCCAAATATAAATATAAAAGAAATTGCGGAAGCATTGTAAAAAATTAGAGTACCTACTGTTGTAGAAGTTCATAAAGTACATTTTTAGATTTATTTTTAAACAAATAAAATAATTTAATTTTTATAATAAAGTCATATCCAAGATCATTTTAAATAAAAGGCAGAGTTAAAGTAATGTTAAAAGATGAAGATAAGAAATTAGTTAATCCCATTTTTAAATCAAGTATTTTTTATTAAAATTAAAATAATTTTTTAATTAATATTATCATTTTTATATTATTATTTCAACTTTTTATATTTATTTTTTTTAAAAAAAAAAGAAAAACAACTTTATCTAAGAATATGTTAGGAAATAAAATAAACAAGTGAAAGATAATAAAATCCGATTGGAAAACCACATCCTTCAAGAGCAATATTATAAGATGAAAGTTAAGAATAAAAAAATTAAAATTAAACCAAAATTTAAGAAAAAGGAGGCAAATAAATAAAAAAAAAAAAAGGAAAATGAATATTTTATTAAAAGATTATAATTTTTATTTAAAAAATTTATAAAATATATATATAATAAAATAAATTAAGATATTTTTTTTATATTTGTAAAATATTTCTAACATTTATTAAATAATTTTAAAAATAATTATATATAAAATAATATCTCAAATTATAAAAATTAAATAATTAACTATTTATTTGTATATAAAAAAAATTGAATATTTAATTTTTAAATTTTATATAATTAAATGTTTATAATTATAAAAATTTTAACAGAGTAATAATATCATATATATTAGATATTTTAATTAATATTTTTCTTTAATTTTTTAGTTAATTTTTAGTTATTTTTTATTATTTTTAAATTATTAAGTTATAAAAATTTAAAAAAAATTCATAAAAATAATTATCACTAAATTGAATTTGTAAAATCAAATTCAAACATACAAAATTAAATTAAATTTTCTGTTAAAAATAATAATATTAAACAATCATATATTAAAATTAATATATATTAAAAGAAATTAAATCAAAATAATAATTTTAAATTTGAAATAATAATAATAAAAAATGCTTAGAGAAGAAAATAGTTTAACACTTTAATAAATCTATAATGTATTCAATTAGGATTTTCATAAAACACCTTAAAAATTGAAAGAGTCGCCTTTCAATAACTGCATGAAGTCAACTGCATCTAATGGAACTAATTGCTGCAGTTCTAATAATTAAAAATAAATACCCAAATTTAACTAATAATCTCCTTATGATATATGTTTTGATTTAAACGGTAATTAATTTTATGATAGTATCTGTATAAATAGTAAATACAATTTCTAATCAAATCTTGAAAAAATAATTATAAATGAGTAGTCTTTTGAGGACTCGTTTGTTGAAGAAAAGATAGATATAAATAAAGAAAATAAGAATCCTAAATAAATATATTAAGAAATGGATGAAGAAGAAGAAGAAAACGAAGAAAATAAAAACATATTTTTGAATTAAAATTTTGTAAATAGTTAAGAAGTATAAAATTCTCATTTTTTTTTTAATGGTAATAGAAATCCTTTATAAGATATTACTGTAAATAATAGTGGCTGTAGGTCATAAAACCATTTAGATGTCAAAGTAAATTATTTTTTAATTAATTTTTTTATATTAAATATTTTATTTTTTAGAAGGTTCTTTCATATAATTCTCCTTTTGGTTAGAGTTATTTAAACGACTAAAAAGATAAAAAAGATAGTTCGAAAAATAAAATTTTATTTTTAAGATGATATAAATTTAAAAACATTTATTGTAATAATTAAAACCTTAGAACAAAATATAAATGAAATATTATATATATATATATATATATATATAAATTATAATTATTGTAAATTGTTAATATCCATAAATTTTTTTATTGTTGTTACATATCTATTTTTTATTAAAATTTATTTAATAATAGTCTTTCATGTTTATTTTTTCTTTTTTGAATATCTAAAACTATTCAAAGGAGGCAACATTTTTTATATGTTTTTTTCTTTAAACTCATATTCAAAAGATTTAGTAAGAAATCCTTTATTGAATTAATCAATTTTATTTAAAGGAAATAATTCCGATTTTTCATTTTTTACTAAATTATCTTAATTAATTTTAGTTTAATCTTTTTCATTTAATTTTAAGACAAAATTTTTTCTAAAAAGATTTTCGGAAAAAATATTTAATTATTTTTTATGGATTTAAGTTTAACTTTTATTTTAATCTTCTTATCCTTCTTATGTATCTATTTTATTGTTACTTCCATTAATTGATTTTTTTTTTAAATTGCTTAATTAATTATTTTTTCTGGAACTTTAGTTAACAATATCTATTGGAGGTTTTACAATACCCTAAATCTTACTTATATAATCGATTTCTTACCCTTCAATAATATTAAGAAAATTTTATTTTGTTATTCTAGTATTGTCTTATAATAGGGAAGCCTTACAAATATAATTAACAAATTTAGGACCTTATTTAACTTTCTAATTTTCTATTAAAGTAACTCCTTTATTGACCTGAAAATTATCAAAAAATAATTCTTTATCCTTAACAGAATTATTTAAAACAAAACTATTTCTTGGTAAAAGTATACTTACTTTTCTAAATTTTTCTTAAATAAAAGAAGGATTATTTGAAATAATCTTTTAAGAGTTCGGTTACGAAGGTATACTTGGATAACTTTTTAGTTATTATTTATTACTTATATTATATGGTAATACAATTGAAATTTTATCTTTAATATTCTCATTAGGTTTATTTAGTAATAATATTTTTCCATCAAAATCATATGTATAATTTTAATTATTATCTTTTTCTTTTTCTAAATTGTTCTTTATCAATTAAAGATAGATTTAATTTTCTTTATTTCTTTTTAAATCTTCTTTTTATTTTTCAGCTTTTTATTATGCTTCCCTTTATTTCAAAACTCGAAGTTAATCTTCAAATCGGTTTTATTCTTGGTTTTCTTTTATTTTATTTAATTTGAATTTGTATTTATCGAAGTTCTTGTTTTCCAATTTTTATATTATTTGATTATCTTATTCTATTGTTGTATTTTTATTTTTCTCATTTTCTTTTGTTTTAGTGTTTATGTTTATTTCTAAATTAAAAACTTACCAACTTTCTTTTTAAGGATATAAAGGTTCTTAATCTTAATTTATTTAGCAATCTTAAGTAATTGATTAACAATTATCTTATCTAAGATAATATTATGATTATCCTAAATGTGATAGGTAAATAAAGTATTAAAAAACATGATGTGGTATTTTTTTATCTAAATAATTAGTATAAAACTTTTCAAAGCTTAAATCTATAATTTTTTTATTATTTAGCTTGCAATATTGTGAGAATTTTATAATGATTAGAACGATTCAACTTATTAATATAAAGAAAAATCTTATTGATTAGGTAAATTTTCAGAAAAAGAATATGAATCTTAATGTGAAATGTTTTAGGAACTTTAATTATTGCTCATTATTAAAAATATTTTTATTTTTTAATAAATAAAATTTTTATTTTATAAATTTTAATTTCATATATTAAATACTTCCTTCAATTTTTTATTGTTATTTTGAAAAATAAAATAAAAAGCATAATGAAATTTGATGTTTATTTATAAATAAAATTAATTTATTAATTATAATATTCCTTTAATTCGAATGTTATAAGTTATTACTTTTTTAAGTATTTATAATTATATTAGTATATAATTAGATTAAATTAACATTATTTATGTATATATATATATATTTATATATTATATTATTCCATTAATAAAAAAATAAATAATATATATGATATTTCTTAATTTGGATATGTATTTTTAAAAAGCTATTAATAATATATTAAATATTTATTTTGATATTTTATTTAAAAAATAATAAATAAATTTAATTTAATTATTTAAACTATATATTTATATATATTTAAATGAGTATTCATAACTAATACATTTAATCATTATTATATTATTATTAATACATATTGTAAAACCTTGAAATTTAATATAGTAATTAATAATTTTAATTATAATATATTGGGTATGAATTAATATTAAAATGATCAAATGTATAAATTGTCTCTATAAATAAATATAAATTAAGGTTTTGGTAAAAGTTAAATATAAGAATTATATGTATATGATAATCCCCGAAAAAATTATAAGAGTTTGCTTAGTAATTTAATCTACTTAAGGCAATATTCTAAAAAAGTATTTTTTATATTTAAAAAAAATAAGAATAAATATTATATATTAAAGAAAATTAAAACAAAAAGTATAAATTTTCATTTAAATTTACACAAAAAATTATAGCTTCAATTATTAAAATAGAAAAAGTATTTATATACATAACAGTATTTTTATTTTATATTTGAATAAAATAATTAGATATATAATGAATGCTAATTATTAAATATGTGGGATAAATAATAAAGGTTTATAAATAAAAAAGAAATTATGAAAGAAGCGAATGATGAATAAATTATTCTAAAAATATATTCAAGATTAATAATTTAGCAAGAATCAAATTTAAACCTATAATTATATATTAATAATACTTTGGAAGTAATACTTTTAAATTCTTAATAGTTTTATCTTTTTTAAAGAAATAATAGGCTCAATTTTTATCTTTAAGTAAATAACATATAATAATACTTAAATAAATTTATTTTAATTATTATAACAAAAACTGATCTTATAAAGCCAATTAATTATGAAAAAATACGAATAATAAAGAGAAAGAATTATTATATAGTAAATTTTTATAGAAGAAAAAAATATATAAATCGAAAAAAAAATTAGAAAATAAATAAAAAAAGTCTATTATTATACAAAAGTTATTATTTATGCTAATCTTAATAAATTAAATCGAAAAAAAAATATTATAAGAAGAGATTAGATTCAATTATAAGTCTTAAAATAATTGCTAAAATGAAAATTTATTAATAAATACATAAAAGAAACGACTATTTGGATATTTATAAAAATAATAAAAAAAATAGAAATAAATTTGAAAAATTTAAAATATATAAATATAAATCAATGAATTTGATCTGAATAAATCGAAAAAAAAAAAAAATGTATGTAGAAAATTAATAAGAAATAAATATAAAAAGGAAATTATCAATAATATGAAAACGAAATTATATTTATTTATTTAATATATATTTTAAATTTAAAGAATATATTTATATTTATAACAAAAAGTTTCCATAATTTAACATCAAAATTTGGAATAAACTTATTATTAAAATTTCAACACCACTTGATTTCCAAAAATAATAAAACATTTTAAAAAAATTTCTTTTGTTAAAATATTCTCATGTACTTTTTACGCTAATTTATATGATTTTCAAATTCTTAATTTTACGTTTTAACAAAAACTACAACACAAACATCATAACTATTTTTATTTATATTATAATCTTTTTTC